ATACAAAATAGTTAGCACAGATATACAGCTGCTTTCTTTTAGTTCAATGAGAAGTTTTTAACTAATAGTGTTTAGACAAGATATCATGTCTGCACCTTGTACTATAAATAACTACTATAAAGACAACAATATGCAATGTATTGATTATTGTAACTGTCCTACTAACCTGTTTTGAAACTATCTCATTGCTTTTTCTCAAGAAAATTATTTTTTAAAAAAGAAAAAAAACACTTTAAAAATTGAGAATTTCATCTCACATTCTGCAAATGACAACATGGCACAACAACAGTAACATTCAAGACTTAGGAGAAAATAATATTCACAGATGTATTTGTATCAAGAAACAACCAAATTATGTCATAACATGCTGTATGAACGAAGGCTGTGCAACTGCTCAAACAAAATGGAAGATTTTAATTCATAATGTAGTATATGGTAACAGTTAATGCAAAAATAAAAAGCATACTGTATTATTATGTTATTGAAATGAGATATGCTTTTGCAATAGTTCCTTGAAGAATCTTTCATAGCAAACACACAATGGGAAATTTCCATCCTTGTATCATGAGCATATTACTAAATTAACTGTGATATTAAATTAATGGAGAAGAGTGCACAAAATACAGATAAAAGATGGAATTCATTTTAGGAGGGAAAGATTGAAGGTGAGAACAAGCGAAGGGGAGTAAACAAACTAGCCTGATGAAATAAAATGGTCCATTTTTGGTGAATGAAAAGGTTGAGGAATAAGGCTGATGGCCTTTTATAAAGAAGGCTTTATATATAAATTTACTCATTTTAACTGGATCAAATGGAGAGTCAATGCATATGTACTGAGGGTTTACTATATGGAAATCAAAGTAGTAGACACTGGAGATATGAAGTTGAGGCAGAAGAGTCCTATAGTCAAGAGAGTCACAGTATAATAAAGTGTAATGAGGAGGAATGCCTAAAATTGCTCAGGCAATTTCTTAACATTTTTGTGACTATCTGTGTTTGGGTGGAGAAAACAAAAGAACATAGGTCAGCCTATGTGTTAGGAATTTCCTCAGTGTACTGTTACTAGTTTTCCTTGGATGAGCGATCAAACTGTTTTACCCTATCTTCCCACTGCTCAGAACACTGTCTAACATACAATATTCCCTCATGTATTTGTTGAATAAATGGGTGAACGCTGACTGAGGACATTTGGTTTAAAATATACTACAAATGATAGTTTACTTTGTAGCCAGTAAGACCTAGTAAAAGAATATTTTTGAGCTAGATGTCAGTGGCACATCATTCCTGTAATATCAGCAATGTGGCAGGCTGTGGCAGGAAGATCACAAATTCAAGCTCAGCCTGGGAGACTTAGTAAGACCCTGTTTCAAAATTTCAAAAAGGGCTGAGAATGTAGTTCAGTGCAAAGGAGAATATATGTCTGGTGTCAAACTCTTTACCTAGTTCATAAGTTAATATCAATCCAATTCTGAACTCTTCTTCTGTCTGAGTCTTAGGGAAAAATAACTCAGTGACAAATGAACCATGAATTCGGATGTAGTAACCTTGAAGGAGACAGAAAAAAAGCACTGCAATGAAAGGGGAAAATTTTGTTTAAAACTCAGGTTACAGATCAAAACTATTCTTGTTTGTATGACAAATATTCTTTTTGGACAAGGTTCTGAGACTCCACCCAATCCCTCTGACATACTCAGGATAAAATTATATAAACCACGTTTTGTTTTGCATTAACCAAAATATAATGTCATCTTAATTATTCCTGTTTGCCCCTGCTGCCCAGATATACAAGTCCCTGAGGGGTTTCCTATGTCTTATTTACTGCTAGCTATATCCTCCGCACTTAGAAGACTGCCTAGCATGTATCAGCGATTCAATAAATATCTGTTTAGATGTATGGTTCTTAGCCACGGGTATTCACAGGGAAGGAATGTTCTATGCATGACAGGGTCCTCTGGGATCAAAAGTGGGAGAATGAGATTCAGGTATCTGAGACTAATTAATAGAAAATGGCTTGGCAGATTGAGATCTAAAGCATTCATGAAAGAATAAAAAACATGATCAATTTTATATACAGGGGGTCAATTAAAATACGTTGAACAAACAGGTCTCAGAAAGAGATCTGGGCAGAGACATAGTTCCTACACGAACTGAGGATAAAGAAACATGTCAATACTGTACTGAGAGGTGGAGGAGGGGTGCAGAGGAGACTAGGCACTCACAAACAAGCGGGAGCAGACAAAAGTACAAGGTGAAGCGCAAAGTGACGTCTCTGAATAAGGGTGTGAAGAGTTTTTACAAGACTGGCGATCTAAAAAGATTCCAATGTTACAGAAAGGTCTCGCTGAACGTGAAATAAGGGAAAACTAACACTTCCCTATCCTGTAACGACAACTTTACTGACGCATTCTGACACTCTTAAACTCAAGCCCTTTTCAACGGCATACAATGTAAGCAGCTGAAACTAGATCTGCTGGACAATTCAGACTGTCGACACCAGAGAAACCCAAGTCATTATTGCATTGCCTCTACGCTCCACTTGAACACCTTCTAGTTTACACCTCAACCCTCCCTCTGCCGCCATCTCCTCGCCTCCCACGGAGCACGTCCCATTCCTTTTACCTGTCCGAGCACCCCGTAGGGGAACACAGGCTCAGAACCGAGGGGCGCAGGTCAGCCCAGGGAGGCCGGCTGCCGGCTCCCAGAAGCGGATGGAACAGGACGCCTCCGACTTCCGCATAAAGCGCCCCGCCTACCCGTGGCCTCCTGGGAGTGAGCCTCCTCCAATGGGAGTGGGCCGTGGGGCAGCCTCTGCCGAGTTCCCAGCCTCCGGTGTTTCCCAAGAGCTGTATTGCATTCCGGGAGTGGTAGTTCCGACTGGAATATCACCAGTTCTGTCGCACTCTGGGTGTACAGTTCTTGTAAGCAACGTCAGACGCTGTACAGGGATCCGAAAAAAATGGGAGGTTGCAAAGCAACATGGGTTACCGGCGTACAGTCCGCAGGATAAATTAAGAGTCAGGCTTCCCCCTGCCATCGGCCCCGCTTAGTCTCCACAGGTAAAGTCTCTTGCTCACAAAGCAGAATCCATTTGACAACAGCTTCCTCCATTTTCGCACGGTTCTAACTTCCATGTACCCCTCACCAATCTTTTATTCCATTTTTTTCAAAAATAATAAAAACAGGTCCGTTTCTTTGCTCTAAGCCACTACATCCCTATTCCCTGTAGCCTCTCTGATGAACTCTCCCTTTTCGTTATCCCTCACAGGCCCCCTGCTTACTCGCTGTTTATTAGCAATAGTTGAAGATTAAAAATTTCTCTTATCTACAGTATTCTAAAGTCACCTTTTTTTTTTTGTACTTCACACACCCAACTCTTTCAACTCTCACCACATACAGACTTCAGCTGGTGACTTTCTCCCACTTCTGCGTTCCAGTCAGAATTCTCAAGTGTTGCTTAAAAACATGAAACCTGATATTCTCTTAGCACTAAGACACTAAACTCTCCAGGTGTCTCTCACTTCAGTAGCACTGTTTTTCTTTAAAATGTTCGTGCTTTTTACATGTTCCTCCCTTATGCTCGCATGTTTTCTTACTCTTCAAATTGTTCTCGGTGATCTTAAACCATCCCCGTTGCTTTGGCTGTAATCTATATGGTGATTGCAAGCACCAAGATAGGAAGCCCAGACGAAGTTCTTATAATCCAGTGTTAGCTATTTAATAATATCCAGCATCTCATTCACACACCCAAAATTTAAAGTACTTCCCAACTGACCTAATACATTTCTACTCTTCTTCACCTTAAGAACCCCCCTCATCTCCTCTTGCCTCTTATCCTCTTTATCCTCCTCTAAATTTCATCTTAGTGAATGTCACAGTCACCCAGTCAGTTGAGCACACCAGAAAGCTTGGTATTATTCTGAATGCTTGTAATCCCTCAAAGCTCACAGCTGAAAACAAACAAGCCATATTAATTATACCCCCTAAATATTTCATTTCACTAGTCAAATTTCAATTTTCTCATCTTTGAAATGAGAATAGTAGTACATGTCTTTCAGGGTTTTCACAATGGTTAATGAATAATTATACCACGTAGAAAATAAACATTTTAGAACAATAAATATTTATTGAGGAAGCATTGTATTTGTCATTAGTTTTCCTTCATTAGATCTTAAGTCATTATAGCTAGCATTTACTTTTATTTAGTGTATACTTAGACAAGAAGGAAAAATGACTGTCTCAGTTACTTTTCCCTCATTACTGGGACACAATACCTGACACTCCAAATTAAGGAAGGAAAGGTTTATTTAGCTCACAATTTGTGAAGGTCTCAGCCCACAATCAGCTGGCTCCAAGGCAGAGAGGCACATGGCAGAGAGTAGCACTTCATGGAGGCAGAAAGTACCACAACAGCAAGAGCAAGAACGGATGAACAATGGCAGCAGTGAGCCTCTCTCCTTTCCTTATATTGCATTTATTCATCCATCTGTTCTTTTAACAAAGATGTAGTAGGGGCCTATTATAAATCAGGGCCTGTTTTGGATGAAAAACATACAGCAGTGAGCAAGACAACCTACACTAATGAGTTTCAGAAGAAGTCAGAATTTTAAAAATAATCTAAAAGTATCTCCATAATGCATATAAAAATATGTAAGGATAGAGTGAACTGTGATGAGAAAACTTAGGCTTTAAGAGGTTAGGTACCTTGCTTATGATTATTAACAAAGCTGAAATCAAAATACTATATTTATTTATTTATTTATTTTTATTTTAATTTTTTTTTGTGGAACTGGAGATTGAACTCAGGCCCTTGTGTTTGCCAGACAAGCACTTATTTTACTGATCTATCTCCCCAATCCCTTATTTTGAAATTAAAATATCCTTCATAAAATATAGTTCCTTCCAGGGCTGGGCCCAAGCTAACTTTACAGTTTGATAATGTCTCAAAAGATGACTGTGGCAGAGACACAAAAGGGAAAAAGTTACTGCTTATATATTAAATCCTGCAGAAAAGACTTATTTTTCCAAACATTAAATAACAGTTATACAGAATTGTAATTCATATAATTTTAACTGTATTATATAATTGTAGAAAGGTCTGCCTTGAAGAAATATATATTTAGGAGTCATCACTATTACTTTATTTTTATTTATTTTTAATTAATTTTACTGAGAAACAAATAGCATGAGACAGTTTCAAAACAGGTTAGTAGGGCAGTTTCAACAAATAATACATTGCATATTGTTGTCTTTGTAGTAGTTATTCATAGTACAAAATGCACACATGATATCCTGTCCAAACACTATTAGTACAAATTTTTCTTCTCATTGAATTAAGAGAAAGTAGCTGTATATCTATCCTATTTTTTCAATAATTTTACTGATAAACAAATAGCAGTGAGACAGTTTCAAATGAAATTAGTAGGACAGTTTCAATAGTTAACACATTGCATACATTCTTCCTAGTTGTTAATTGCTGTACAAGATGCAGACATGATATGCTATTTACAAACACCATTAGAACAAATCACTACATTAAGAGAATGTAACTATATATCTACCCTAACTACATTGAATACACAGATACAAAATGGACATACATCTGCATACCCTTTTTTTTGTTAAGTTCCGTTATTTGAATATTATAGGTGTATAAACTCAGCAAAATATTCTAAAAGAGTCCAGTAGCCCATAATAGTATTGGGTCTTCCGCTTGACTGGCAATGTCAGAAATTGTTGACCTGAGTCCCCC